CCTATAGCAAAAACCTCTCCAAAAAAAAAAAAGATGTATAGTCCCAGTATTTTAAGTACAAATATCCTTAGGAGAAATTATGTCATAAATTCAGAATGAAACTCTCTCTCTCTCTCTCTCTCTCTCTCTCTCCCTCTCTCCCTCTCTCTCTCTCCTCTCTCTCTCTCTCTCTCTCTCTCTCTCTCTCTCTATCTATATATATATTTGTTATAGGGCATGTGTGCTTGTCAGAGAGAGAGAGAGAGAGAGCCAAAGAGATGGAAAGTGAGAAACTACCCTCTGGGGGTTGGCCACACAGTAATCCCTTCTCTTTCAGTGTCTACTGTAATTTGGGGAACTCCCACACATATTGGGCGTGCCTCCCAAGCCACTGGGACTCAGACAATGCAGTTGGCCATGTGGGATCCAGGACCTTAACCTCTACACCACCTGCTGGTTTGAAACTGTAATTTTAACATCTGACAGAATAATTTCTTATGTAGTTCAACATTTCACTTTTGCATCATTTATTTGTACTAATAATAAGTATAAAAATCTGACCGTGTAATGCTAAATACATTATCAAAATTACAATAGCAACTCACATGATTTAGTTATAATGTGAATGAGAAAGAAAATGTTTCGTAACTTTATACCTTTTTGTGCATGCATTTAGCAAAGATTATAAGGCTTGTGTGATATAAACCAAGGACAAAATGCAGCTACCAATGCAAAATAAGTTCTTTTTTAAAGTTTATTTATTTTGTTTCTTTTGTGAGAGAAAGAGAGATAGAGAGACACCACCAAGATGGTCTTCTCGTCCTAAACCCTTTTGCCTCAGTTGCGATCCCCTTCTCCCAGACACCACCAAGATGGTCTTCTCGTCCTAAACCCTTTTGCCTCAGTTGCGATCCCCTTCTCCCAGACCTTCAGGTAGTCAGGATCTTGAGTATTTTAAGTGGACTGGGGATGCAAACCCATGCTCAGCCATGTGGTTTCTAGCACTGCAGAACAGCTCACTACCAACTGCACCACTGTTGCTGGCCTACAACAAAGTCTTAATCTTAACAATAAGTAATAGTAGTTATATGAAACTACCCAGGACCAGTCTTTCTCTTGCCAACAGACTGAATCCAAAGGCCATGGCCACATTCAGCTCAAAGATGTGTGCGGCTTAAAGAGTATGTTTGCTTTGGTTTGGTTTGATTTTTACCATTTGATTTTGAAGACCTCTGCAATTTGGTATTCTGAGAGTATGTTTTGGTTTACTTTGGTATTTTGCAATTTGGCTTTGGGCATGTAGACAGGGTCTGAGCTCGAGGTGTCACCACACATCTTACTCTTCCCTATTGTTTTATCCCCTACACTGTTTAACATCATATCCAACCCACTCATTTTTGTTACCTGTCTGATCTTTGTTCTAGGCCTTGCCCCACAAGCAAATATCAATGGAAAAATTCCAAGTAAAGTAATTCCCACTGTGACATCTTTCCCCGGAGGGAAACGCATTTCTTTTCTTTTCTCTTAAATCATGATTGGTAAGTATCCTTTCATTTAATATGACAGCAAGCCACTATTTGAAATGCTGGGGAATACTCAGCACAAACCAGTTTTGGCAGCATCTCAACAACTCTTGTGACTCTGAGCATCCTGGAAAACCGTCTGCTGATCTGTATGCTGCTCAGCTTTAGATCTGAGTCTGTTTTATCTTGTTTCATTGAATGAAAATGTGAAGTCTTCCCTGTCCCCTATCCCTCTATTCTCTTAACCCCTCAGACAATGGAATTTTCCATTAGAAAGGGAGAGTATTGCACTTGGAGGGGAAAATCAGGTTTTTGTTCTCCTTCCACCGTCCACTATAACACAAAGCTCTGCTCCTCCTCTCGGGAAAATGTAAGGCTGGCTGGCAGTCAGTTTGACAGAAGGAGAGCAGTGCAGCGGAAAATTGGATAACAGGATAAAAATCTATGGGGCCACAGGAATCCCATCAAAACTGGCTCTTCCTGTCAAAACCCAGACAAGTGACAAGGACAAATATAGAATGTTATTTATATTTAAATATTTCTAATGATATCATAATTATATTTTTGCCTCTGTTAGGCAGCCATTTTCCTGTGAACCACAATTCTGCAAACCAAATGTTGTGTGTTGAAAAAAATCTACATAAGAATCAGACAGCTTCAATCAGACATCTGGGAAAATCCTATAAACTCCTCAAATAGCTATTTCTAAAGGACACAGCACAACAATTTATTCTTTTCAAAGTTATTTTCCTTAGAGTACAATAGTTGAGTTCAATAAAAAATGGATTATTCCCAACTCTTAGGGTATGAGAAAACCAAGCTACTAGCAGGTAGCTAATAAATTAGCTTTACTTAAATTAGAATATTTTGAAAAAAAGTCTTATTTTCTTTCC